TCAACACACTGCATACTGATCTCAAGGCCAGTCTGAACTGCATGAGACTCTACCTCAAAGAAACAAACACACACAGCTGGAAACAACAAAAAAGTTAATGAGCTATGAGCCTCAGCCTCCTGCACCTCAGTTACTAAGTGTAGGCCTTGCAGATTGATACTTATGTAACTACTTCCAATGACAGCTGAAAATCTGACCGACAACATTTTCTTTCTTAGTATATGCTTTTATTTTATGAATATGAGCATTTGCCTGAGTATGTGCAGCACACAGGTGGCTGGTATCTGTGGGGATTAGAAGAGCGGATCCCCTGGAACTAGTTACAGATGGTCGTGAGCTGCCGTGTTTGTGCTGGGAACTGGAGAGCAGCAAGTGCTCTCAACCAGTCCTCTCCACAGCCCCTTAGAGGAGATTTTTAAGTTTACCCCCGGACAATTTCACACATGTATGTTATGTATTTCAATCACATCTACTTCCCATTATTTGTCTCCCCCGCCACTTCCCACCTAACCCCCTTCTTCCCAACAAAGTTCTTCCTACTTCTATGTCTTTGTGTGTCTGTGCGTGGCCCACTGAGGTTAGCTGGGGTTGCTTACCAGCGCATGGTGAGAGGCTATTTACAGGAACAGCTAAGCACTGGGTATACCAGTAAAGAAAACACCGGCTCCCCTTTCAGGAATATTTAGCCGTTTTAAGGCCCATCTAATTTGAAAGGGAATTTGTGGGAAAGAGTAAGACCTGGAGGGCATTTTCCCCAAACAAGGCCCCTTTATTGAGAACTAGTCTTCCACATCAGCTCACTGGCCTACATTCATCTCTCAATCAACATGTTACTTGACACCTACTAAGTGTGACACCTACTAAGAGCTAACATGCACTTCATTAGACTATGGCAGACACGTGACCACCTGTAAGTCAGGTGTTTGCTCTCGCCTCACTTTCAGACTCAGTACGGTGACCCTCCCATATACGTGACAGAAAGTGGAGCACCCCAAAAGCTACACTGCACTCAGTTCTGCGATGTGTGGAGAATTCAGTACCTCAAAGGATACGTCAATGAAATGTTAAAAGGTGAGATAAAACTAAGATTTGTTTCACATGTTTTTCTATGTAGACAAGATTCAATCTATCATCTACCATCAACTAAAACCTGCTTCTAAATCTCATAGAAACAACTTGATACTGTTTATACTTCTAAGCAAATGAAACATATTAAGAATGGATTCATTTGTCTTCACAGCTATAAAAGATGGCGTGGACATAAGAGGGTATACTTCCTGGTCTCTGTTGGATCAGTTTGAATGGGAGAAAGGCTATGCAGATAAATATGGCTTCTACTATGTTGAATTCAATCTGAGAAACAAGCCCCGATATCCCAAGGCTTCTGTTCAGTATTACAAAGAGATCATCACAGCCAATGGGTTTCCAAACCCACAAGAGGTAGGGCGGCTAACTTACCCATGACATTTGTTCTGTTCTTGAGCTAAAGATTAAGATGAACCACACCGCTCCTTTATTCCAAGGAAGGGGTGGGGAATATGGCACAATCCCCCCACGACCTCTGCTTAGGATGGAGTAAACATGACCCAAAATCCAGTCCCTTCCAGACAGGGCATCAGGGTGACAAGGGTCCTGTCTGAGCTAGGTTTCAATGGACCAAATCAGTAAAGATGTCAATGGTTTTCTGCGCTGTTGCATCCAGGGCTTTACATATGACAGACAACGCTACCACTGAGCTCCAAACGTTGCCTTCCTATCCATCCCTGTGGGGTTTTATTTGCATCTAGAACATACTCAAACAATAAGACTAGAAAAGATGAATCAGATGGTAATTCTGATGAATTAAAAATATTACCATGATACAAACAGACACTACTCTTCAATATGTAAGATGTTCTGTAAATCAAATGTAGGTCTATGGGGCTGGAGAGTTGGCTCAGAGGTTAAGAGCACGGTCTGCTCTTCTAGAGGTCCTGAGTTCAATTCCCAGCATCCGCATGATGGCTCACAACCATCTGTAATGAGATCTAGTGCCCTCTTCTGGCCTGCAGGATACATGCAGGCAGAACACTGTATACATAATAAATAAATCTTTTTAAAAAAATGTAGGACTATATCTTTTCCCACCATTTTATTTATATATGCATGCACAGTCTCCAAGGCAAGATGATGATGATGATGATGATGATTTGTTGTTGTTTCTCGAGACAGGGTTTCTCTGTGTAGCCCTGGCTGTTCTGGAACTCACTCTGTAGACCAGGTTGGCCTCCAACTCAGAAATCCGCCTGCCTCTGCCTCCCAAGTGCTGGGACTAAGGCGTGCCCCACCACTGCCTGGCCGCCAAGTTTAAATAGAAACAAACTTTAAGCTCCCCGCCTACTCACAGACAGGGTTTCTTTGTGCAGCTTTGGATGTCCGGTCACTCACTCTGTAGACCTGTAGACCAGTTTGGTCTTGAACTCTGAGATCCACCTACCTCTGCCTCCAGAGCGCTGGGATCAAAGGCCTGCATGTCACTGCCTGACTAAACTTTAAGCTTTAAAAGCCTACCAGATGGGGTGTTCTGTTGTTCTTGTTTAGTTCTCAGCCTCCGACTCTAGCTCCAGGGGATCCAACACCCTCTTCTGGCCTCCAAGGGCATACAAAGGTACATCACAAAAACAAACAAAACAAAGCAAGCAAAATTACATCTTTTGGCAGCTCGACTTTGTATACATCTGCCATCTACAAGCATGAACTATAAATTATGATTTAGAGGATTTTAATAAAAAATTACAAACAAATCTGACTGGCTTGCTAGAACTGGTTCAGAGTGAGGCAAGAGGGCCTGGAGGTGAGGACCGTGACCACATCCCTCAGGTGTTCGCTGTCGGTACTAGAGAGCAGTACATAAAGCCGAGGGTATAGCTCAAGGCTGGCTCCAGCTACATAGCCAGTTTGTGGCCAGTCAGGGCTTCAATGTGATAGTCTCAAAAAAAAAAAAAAAATTAGTAACATCCAAACTGTGGGTAGATTTAAAACATGTTTGTCTTGCTGAGATTGATGAGTTGATAAAGGCTTTGGCCAAGCTCGATGACACAAATGCATCGAAATTTTGTATAAAAATGCCTCGTTTATTCTAAAAACAATCTTAGGCATAGGAAAATAGCAAGGGGAACTTACTTAACAAGTGGATTTTTTATTAGGTGGAAAGTTGGCGTCTCAAAGCCTTGGAAACTTGCTCCGTCAACAACCAGATGCTTGCCACAGGTGAGGATTCTTATCTTTGATAATTCTGTAATGTTATATATATGATGGCATTACCAAAAGTCTCAAAATGATCTACCTAAAATCCATCCAACCATCCATCTTGAGCCCAGACTAACATGGGCTAAAGACTCTACATCAAACAAATTATGTAAGCAAAAAACGTGCTAACACCAGGGAAATGAAGGAGGCTAGGATAGCTATCTCGTGTGTGTGTGTGTGTGTGTGTGTGTGTAATACTCAGGAACTAGAACCACTTCTGTGGAGAATAAGTAGTCTAGACTGGCTAGAGTTCGGGGCTTTTCCTGTCTATTCCCCTGGTCCTGAGTTACAAGTACATTGTACCTTGACATTTTATCATTTTTTTATGTGAGTTCTAGAGGCCAAACAAGTACTTTACTGACAGAGCCATGCCTCCCTTCCCAAGAATGATTTCAATACTCTAACTCCATTCCCACACTAATTACACAGGTCATGTTTGTATGTGTGGAATTGCTAGGGATTGAACCCAGGGCTTCAAAAACACTAAGTGTTATACTACTGAGCTATATCCCTATACTTCTTACTTTTCCAAAAATTTTAAATTTACTGCTAGTGTGTGTGCGCACACACATGCACACGTGTGAGGCATTCAGAAAACAACTTTGTGGTATTGGTTCTCTTCTTTCATCTTTAACATGGGTTCTAGAGATTGAACTCAGATGGTCAGGATTGGGTGGCAAATGCCTTTACCCACTAAGCCATCTTATCAGCCCTACTTAAGTTTTTTTTCTTTTTATATGAACGGGTGTTTGCCTGTATGTATATATGTCTGTGTTCATATTTAATACCCAAGGAAGACAGAAGATGGTGTCCAATCCCCTGGAATTTGAGTTACAGTGATGACTGTCCTGTGGGTGCTGGGTCCTCGGGACAGTAGCCAGTGCTCTTGACTGCTGAGCCATCCCTGTAGCCACAGCCCTACTTTTTGAGACAAGTTCTTATTAACTTGCCTAGGATGGCATTACACCCAATAGCTCTGATAGGCATTGAACCTGTGTTCCCCCTGCTCCTGCCTCCCAAAGCTGGGATTATAGCTTGTAAGATTATCTCCAATAAATAACTACTCAGTACTCCCTAATATTTTAGCATTATTTTAAGCCTCGGAGATAGCAGCAATAAACAAAGTACTATCCTCACACTCTTAAAAGGCATCATTTTTTCCTTGTGTGCAATGGTTTATGTGCAATGGTGTTTTGGCTGCATGTATATCTGTGTGAGGGTGTCAGAATCTCTGGAACTAGAGTTCCAGACAGTTGTGAGCTCCCATGTGAATGTTGGGGTTTGAACCTGGGTCCTCTGGAAGAACAGCCAGCACTCTTAACCACTGAGCCATCTCTCCAGCCCCTTGTTGATTATTTTTCCAGACAGGGTTTCTCTATGTAGCCCTGGCTGTCCTGGAACTCACTCTGCCTGTCTCTGCCTCCCAAGTTCTGTGATTAAAGGCATAATTTCTTATGCAGTTGAGTTCTAAAAGGATCCAAAATACAGAATACGACCAACGTCTCTGAAACCCATTTTTCTGCTTAGCTTAAGGGCACCTGAAGAAATACACTTCTTGTTTTAGTATCGTTCTTTAATGTAGGGTCAAAACAGGTGGTGCAGAAACCCCCTCAGCCGAGCTACCCAGCGTGACCACACACACCAGTGTCCCCACACTCATAAATAACCAGGTCATAGTCTACAGATTATAAACTATAGTTCACCAAATCAAAGTAAAGACAACACGGCTTTAATGAAGACTTGTTGACTAGCCCGTGAGCTGCACAAGAACACAGCCGTGCCAGTTCACTTCGGTTACCAGGGTGCTCGGACAAGTCAGAGCGAGTCACATGAACGTCTTCCCTTGGACTGGTGGATATAACACTTAGCTCTTAAAGATTAAACCACACAACAATTATCAAATAATTTAACATTTTAGTGAATTTTTGTGTTAACAAAGAAATAAGTGTCAGAATTACCATTATAAATTGTAATAAATGAGCATATGAGATGTAAGTATATCGAGAATAACGAACTCAAAAAGCTAAAAATGTTTCCAAGGGACTCTTTTTCTTTTCTTTCCTTTTGAGACAAGGTTTCTCTGTGTAGCTGTGGCTTTTCTGGAACTTGCTCTGTAGACCAGGCTGCTTCTGCCTCTTTAGTGCTGGGATTAAAGGTGTGCACTACCATGCCCAGTCCAAAAGATTTTTTTTTTTTACAAGTCCTGCAGTAAAACCTAGAGAACCCATGGAATACAGGTGCTAATATTTTGAGATTAATGCAATGCCAGCATAAATATTAACCATACTCAAGCTTAATAAAATACCAGTGAAGTAACCAAAGCTAGGCAGATTTTCTGTGACATTTCCAGCTCTCACGTAAGTTTTGTGTGATGGTAAGGATTCCCAAAAGCTGTATGCATACCAAGTGAACACACTGCCTTTGTCTCATGGTCCCAAAACTCCATCTCAAAATAATGCTGGATTTCACTTTTACAACAAATGAGAAAAATTAGAAACGCAATGTCCCTTTTAGCTTTTGCTTCAAAACAAAGCTCACTTCCGGTGGAATGTTCTCTGTCCATTTCAGAGCCCTTGCTTAGGCACATGCATGTGACTTCGGAGATTGTGGTCCCCACAGTCTGCGCCCTCTCCATCCTCATTGCTGCCCTGCTGCTGACACTTCTCCTCAGGAGCCACAGCTGAGATGGGATCTCCTCTCCACCTTCGTCTGTCAGAGCATCTTCGCGATCACTCTTCTTTTCTGCTTCAAAAGTTCATGCGATGTCTATTTTTTAGGCTCTGAAAATTAACTCACTCCCCTTTTGTTTTGTGCTGGGATTTAAGAATAAGAAAATAAAAATAAGCATAAATAAAATGAAAGAAACCTGTAGTCTCCTGAAGTTAGAGTCAATATTTTGCTACCTACCATCCACACATCTCATTTTTCAAAATTAGGAACACAGTGTATAGTTTTGTAACTTGATGATTTTTTTCATTTATCTGGAAAAATTACTTTAATGTACAGATGACTGTCACTGAGCACTGCCATATCTTATGGACATTATCAATCTAAAACCCTTTCAGGCTGTAGACTACTAGCTAAGCAGATGGGCAACAAGTGGGCGGGACATGTGCCTCAGGAGGGAGACCACAAGTGACAGCCACTGCACTGTGACCAGCAAAGAGACTCTGCAATACCACTATGATGGCAAACCAAACAAAGTTTTGCTTTGTTTTTAATTTAAACTAAAGCCAGGTGTGGTAGCGTATGCCTTTAATACCAGCACTCAGGAGGCAGAGAGGCAGATCTCTGTGAGTTCAAGGTTAGCTTGATCTACATAGTGAGCTCTAAGACTACATAGATCCTGTCAAAACAAAAAACCAAAAACACTAAAGTTCATTTTATTTTTAAACTATGATAAAATTAGTCTCCACTTATTAGAAGGCAAATGAGACCTAAGGGGGAATGGTAAGATCAGGCATGTTATCCATTATTTAATTCTACTTATGAAACAAACAAACAAACAAACAAACAAACAAACAAACAAACAAACAGGCCTGATTGGCAAGGTAGTATATACCTTTAATTCCAGGTGGATCTCTGTGAGCTCCAGACCAGATAGTGCTACATAGTGAGATCTTGTCTCAGAAACAAAACAAAACAAAACCCAAAAGAGGATTTTCCATCAATCCTTTTAACTAATAATATCAACTCAAAGTAAGATGATTTTATTTTTTAGGTTTATAGAGACAGGATTTCTCTGTGTAGCTCTGGCTGTCCTAGAACTCCCTCTGTAGACCAGGCTGGCCCAAAACTCAAGAGATCTGTTTGTCTCTGTGTCCTGAGTGTTGAGACTAAAGGCATGCACAACCACTGCTTAGTGGTGTTTCGTTTTTGATTTTAAAAATCAAGTATTTTTTAAAAAGGTGTTTACATTTAGGGCTCAATGAAATGTGGCTGAAGAAAACTTTATTAACAAAACTTTGCTTTTTATGTCAAGTTGTGTGTGGGGGTGTCTATTTACAATTTTTTTCTTTTACCAATGATTTTGAAATCAAACTACAGATAAAAAATTTCTTTGATACTAGAGTTAAGTAGACCTATTAAGTGGCCAACAAAAGGTACAAAGGCATTGGAGACTTGCAGAATCAAGTGATAACCTGGTAGGCCCTTGAGGGATGCCTGGTGAACAGTTGTATTTCTGATGTGTGGATGTGGTACTGACAATGTAGAAATAGCTAAAACACAAGGTATCATCACAACATACCTGAGAGATGACACCTCACAAGGACGCTCAGCGAGCATTACTTGAAGTGCACCTGGCTGCAGGTAACCATGCTGATGAAGGCAGCCCTTTCTTCCAGGCTACCATTCAGTGTCAACTCAGAAAACTCTGTAAGCAGAAAGACAATGAGGCCAGTCAGAACTCTCCACTGACGTCACAACACAGCAGCTGAGGAGTGTGGATGGCACCCGACTTCCACTTGGAAAGAATCTACTTGGCAAAACTGAGCTGGGGCAATTATTTATACAGCATATCCTCTTGATGTTTTAAGCTTTGATTAAACAACTTAACATTCAAAGTAGAGTAAAAAACAAAAACAAAACAAACAAACAAAAAGAGCTACCTTCCCTCGGGAATCAACTACACTTACATTAATTGTTGTGTCTCCACTTAAGGCTCAACAAGTGTCTTTTCTGAATCATGCTGTAACATAATTTTAGAGAAGAAATTCTTAGGATTTACAGCCTCCCCAACCCCTTTGTGGTTTCAAGATAGGGTTTCTCTGTGTAGCCTTGACTTTCCTGGAACTTGCCATGCAGACCAGACTGGTCTCAAACTCAGAGATCTACCTGCTTCTGCCTCCCAAGTGCTAGAATCAAAAGTGTTTGCACCACCTCCAGGCAGAGTTTACAGCCTTATGGCTAAATGTACACTCATTTCTCTACCCTCTCAAAGAATGACATCTGTGCTTCAAGGACCAGGCCAGCTAGCAGTTAGAGGGACTGTGTCCACTTCCTTTGTGATGTCCATGTTTTTTTTTTTTTCTTTTTTTCTTTTTTGGTTTTTCAAGGCAGGGTTTCTCTGTATAGCCCGGGTTGTCCTGGAACTCACTCTGTAGACCAGGCTGGCCTCAAACTCAGAAATCCACCTGCCTCTGCCTCCCAAGTGCTGGGATTAAAGGCGTGCACCACCACCGCCCGGCCTGTCTTCCTGTTCTTGACTCAACTGTTTTGCTTAGGAGCATAATTACCATTAGATATATTGAAAGTTAGGTTTGACTTATGTGTTCAGTCTAATGAAAAACATCTAATCTCTCGAATGTTTACCTTTCGCTGGTTTATTTAATTTTGGTGAGAATGAGACTGCCTCATGTAGGCTAGGCTGGCCTTAATTTAAACTCATTATGTAGCCAAGGATGACCTGAACTTCTCTGAGGTCCTACAACTACTACCCAAGTTCTGAAACTACAAGTACGCATTACAATATCCAGGCATAATTTT